TCAGGTTAGAAGTGTGAAAACACTCATTTCATTTTGGGACGTTGTTTTTTTGCATCTAAATCTGATTTCTCTCCTCAGTGACATCTGATGGATTCATGCATCAACTGAAAGAAACTGCTGATCATCGCGGCCTGTTTCAGTTTCAGCCTGACGGGAGATCAGGCCTGACCTCTGACCCCCCCCAGCTCACAACAGAAGAGGAAGCGACGCGTCGCTACGACACCTCGAACAAGAACCCAAGACCCACAAAAGTGAGATCAAAGACCAGGAGACACCGTGAGGTGGATCCCCGTTGGAAGCGCCTGGAGGACCTGCAGCCCCCAACACACCTGCTGCAGGATCTCCTTCCTGTCTCTAAGTCAGACGTCTCAAAGTCAGACGTCTCAAAGACAGACGTCTCAAAGTCAGACGTCTCAAAGTCAGACGTCTCAAAGTCAGACGTCTCAAAATCAGACTTCTCAAAGACAGACTTCTCAAAGACAGACGTCTCAAAGACAGACGTCTCAAAGACAGACTTCTCAAAGACAGACTTCTCAAAGACAGACGTCTCAAAGACAGACGTCTCAAAGACAGACGTCTCAAAGACAGACGTCTCAAAGTCAGACTTCTCAAAGACAGACTTCTCAAAGTCAGACGTCTCAAAGTCAGACTTCTCAAAGACAGACGTCTCAAAGTCAGACTTCTCAAAGACAGACGTCTCAAAGACAGACTTCTCAAAGACAGACGTCTCAAAGTCAGACTTCTCAAAGACAGACGTCTCAAAGACAGACGTCTCAAAGTCAGACTTCTCAAAGACAGACGTCTCAAAGACAGACTTCTCAAAGACAGACTTCTCAAAGTCAGACTTCTCAAAGCCGTTTCTCCCGCAGTGAGACTCCTCGGAGGGAGACTCCAAGACTGCAAGAACAACAATACATTTGCAAAGCCAAGAAAAGACGGCATGGAGCAATGGACACAAGCGGCCTGAGCTACAGAATGCTCTCACAATACCACAGAAGAAGAACTGATCGCCACGAATGCTTCAAGCTCCTCCATCTCTTGTGGCGGTTTCGTGGCAGCGGTGATCGGGCGAAGCTTTCTGGGCGATTACGCTTTCCTTCCCCACTCGGCGAGTTATTTACTCCATTAAATGTATTTCCACTGCAGATGCAAACAATGTGAGCAGTTCAGGGGTTCATTAATAACACATGAGGATCCTGAGTGACGGCTAACACTCATTTACACGACTGCTGTTTTCTGCCTTTTAATTATTTAATAAAGGCGGCGAGAACGAGACGACGCTACAGTGAATGGATGAATATCGATATTCATGCGGGATGCAGAGAGCGTCGACACGCCTGTAAACACGTTAAAGGCCATGAAGACTTTTTAATCACTGATTACTTAAATTGGACTATTTTTTAGATAACAAATTAAGAAATAATTCCCCTTATTGCAGATTCCAGTCAATACTTTATTTATCTTAATTCACTCTAATAGTACATTTCTATTTCATATAATGACACATTTTTCTACCCTCCAAGTGATCCAACCATTTTTTTCCTCGACATTTTGTTGTTTCACAAAGTGATTCTTAGTGCAGCTTATGATTGTAATCAAGTTTTCAGACTAAAAGTAAATCACGAAAATAATGACAATTCTTTTCATTGTGTGTGTTGTTTATTGTTGCGTTACTTGTTGCCGTGGAGACGGAAAAACTCATTGAGTTGAGCTGCATGTGATGAATAATCCACCAACACGCCACAATGTGCTGATGTTTTATTACTATCGTTTATTAAGAGGCAAATAAAGAAGGAACATGTTTAAAAAAGCTCCCTGATTATTGATCAGTCCCGATCTATTCAAACCAGATCTTATAATGGGGGGGGGGGCTTCACTGTCTCCCACAATAGTCATCCCAACCCCCCCTGAAGAGCCCATAGGCCCCTGTGGGATGCAGCCGCTGGTCTCTTACCTGTGCAGTCCTTCCCTTTGCCTTTGCACTCCCCGCTGTGCGCGGGGTGCGACGCACGAGCCGCCGGCAGGTAGAGCAGCGCGTTCAGGAGGCACGCGGACAGCAGGAGCCGGGCCGCCCCGCCGGGACACCCCCCCGGGCCCGCCACCATGATGCGATGACGCCCGGTCCCCCTCCCCTCCCTAGATCCAGGTGCTCGTGCAGGCGCGTGGGTCCCGGTGAGCCGCCTCAGAACCGGAACGCGCTTCTTTCCCGCGTGGATCCGCGTTCACGAGGCGGTCCGGTCCGTCCGGATGAGAAGAGGCATCGCCACCCGGCCCGTCCTCTGCGTGAACACGGCTTACAGCGGTCCCTGGGGCGGGCTCTGCTCCTCCTCCCGGCAGTCGCGAGGGGTGAGGGGGGGTGAGGAGGGGTGAGGAGGGGGGTGAAGCCGCTCGGGGGTCCGGCGGAGACGCGCTGCGTGAAGAGAGGCGGCGAGCTGCAGACACACAACAAAGAGATCCGGATGAGGCGGAGGACAGACAGGCTCGGTCACGTGGGGGGGACGCAACGCGCCCCCGTCCCACCTCCACGCCCCTGACGCGCGCGCGCGCGCGCACCTGAAGCGCCAGACGATCAAATGCGAAAATAAAATGATTTATAAAGACGCTGCAGCGGAAATATGTCATCATCACCATCATCATCATCATCATCATCACCATCATCACCATCATCATCATCATCACCATCATCACCATCATCATCATCATCATCATCACCATCATCATCACCATCATCACCATCATCATCATCATCACCATCATCATCACCATCATCACCATCATCATCATCACCATCATCATCACCATCATCACCATCATCATCATCACCATCATCATCATCACCATCATCACCATCATCATCACCATCATCATCATCACCATCATCACCATCATCATCACCATCCTCCTCATCATCATCATATTGTAAGGGATGAAGCTCGGCAGCAGGAAGTAGTAATCAATAAGAGTAAATAGTTCATTTTCTTTGACGTAAAACCGACAGGTGAAACTAAACCAATGAGTCTGTGGACACAATGATGGAGACAATGTGATGTAGAAAACACGGGAACGGTCTCAACATTTATCCACAGAGCACCAAGTGCCTTCAACAGACCCCCATCGGTTTGTGGATCACCTTCTAGCTCAGGGTCTCAACTCATGTCAGGTTCTGGGCAGATGCAGCCCACTTAGGCCGGACGCGGGCCAGAACATTACGGGTGGACGGGGGGCGAGACTCATAGTTTACATGTCTCTGTGTCTTTGAGCAGACACTGACGCCCCAGTGCTTCACAGCAGCACTGCTCCTTAATTACTGAGGGTGGGTCAAATGCAGAGAACAACTTCCCCATGTGTGATTAATAAAGGGTCAGAAATAAAATAATAATAATAATTCCCCCAAAGATATATATTTTCTTTTTTTTTCCTCGCGCCCCACCTGTAATACCTCCGTGCCCCACCAGAGGGCCGTGCAATCAGAGTTTGAGAACGACTGCACTAAATGAACATCATCTGTATTGAAGAAGACTTGAAACTAGAGATTGAGACATAAACTCATGTTTACAATGTTTACTGAGGGAATAAATCAAGAGAGAAGTAGAGTCATTTCCTCATAGACGTCTATGGGAGCAGAGGAGTCGCCCCCTGCTGGTCACTACACAGAAGTAGAGTCATTTCCTCATAGACGTCTATGGGAGCAGAGGAGTCGCCCCCTGCTGGTCACTACACAGAAGTAGAGTCATTTCCTCATAGACGTCTATGGGAGCAGAGGAGTCGCCCCCTGCTGGTCACTACAGAGAAGTAGAGTCATTTCCTCATAGACGTCTATGGGAGCAGAGGAGTCGCCCCCTGCTGGTCACTACAGAGAAGTAGAGTCATTTCCTCATAGACGTCTATGGGAGCAGAGGAGTCGCCCCCTGCTGGTCACTACAGAGAAGTAGAGTCATTTCCTCATAGACGTCTATGGGAGCAGAGGAGTCGCCCCCTGCTGGTCACTACAGAGAAGTAGAGTCATTTCCTCATAGACGTCTATGGGAGCAGAGGAGTCGCCCCCTGCTGGTCACTACAGAGAAGTAGAGTCATTTCCTCATAGACGTCTATGGGAGCAGAGGAGTCGCCCCCTGCTGGTCACCACACAGAATGCAGCTTTAACTCGTGAAGCTCTGGTTCTCTAAATCTCTGCTCACTTCATCGGCTGGTTCTCGTACGTTTCCCCTGTTTGGTGCTTTGAATAAAGGTTAAATTCCTCTAAAAGGCCTTGACTGTTTCACAGCTTTAACCACAGGATTCCCACAGAGGAGTCGATCAGAGCCGGTGGCTCAAACAGGACCCACCTGGCCTCATTAAAGTCCCGGTGTTGACCCGGGTAATATTTCTCAGGATGAGCTCTTCCTAAACGGGCCGCTGGGCGGATTCTAGCGCTGCTGTGGGCTTCTCTTGGTGCAGGTCCTCGTTGGTGCCGTTGGTTGGTAGAAACAAAATAAGAAGCTTCGCTCCACTAATAGAACAAAGTAATAGAAGTGTCTTTATTTCCCGCTAAGCTTCATCAGCTTCGGTCTCTTGGATTTTATCTCAGATTATTCCTCCACCATATGTCAGGAGGAGCGAATTAGGGATTACTCGGTGCTGACGGGGCGATCGCGGTTTATTTTACGGGAACGCTAAGAAGGTTAAAGCAAACAATCAGGTAATTTGGAGATAATTAGAGTGAATTAGGACAGCAGGGGGGTCAACGTTTTAATATAAATGATTATACTGAAGAGATTATTTCTTTGGTTTAAAAGTGAACTTTCCACTGTACTATATCTCAGGTACATATTGTACTTCGTGAGAGTACCACTGGTGCACTACTCTCACACATTGTAGTGAAACAGTACATCTTTGTGTTTTGTCTCGTCTTTGTTACTTTGTGTATTTTATACAATCAAATACTTTTTTGTGTTTTTTTATGCATATTAATCCAGAACCATTTTGCTGATAAATAGACAAATTTAGAAAAGCTCGATGGTGGACATCAGAGCTGGAACACAGAACCGCTGACCTGGGGTCTGATCCAGATTGTAGCGTGCAGACTCTAATTTCCTCCACCATCTGGAGCAGGAGCTCCTCTAAATGTGAGGGTCTCATCTCTACTGCTGATAACAGCGGGGGGGGGTCGTGTTAACCCTTTACTAATCACCACACATTTAATCTGCGTCCTCAGTGATCCGTCTGACGTTCTCCAGGGAAAGAGTGAGGCAGGGCTGAAAGCCCCACAGAGGTCACAGAGGTCACGTCATCTCCACTTCTGATGTGTCACAGAACGATGTCATCCACTCACATGTCCTCTGTATCTTCAGAGACAAAGTCTCGTAAAGTGAGACATGCTGACTGGGAGAGACGTTAAATGACTATCAAGCAACACAACACAACTACAAAGAGACACAGAACAACTAGAAAGAGACACAACACAACTACAAAGAGACACAGAACAACTAGAAAGAGACACAACACAACTACAAAGAGACACAGAACAACTAGAAAGAGACACAACACAACTACAAAGAGACACAGAACAACTAGAAAGAGACACAACACAACTACAAAGAGACACAGAACAACTAGAAAGACGCACAACTACAAAGAGACACAAAACAACTACAAAGAGTCTCAAAACAACTACAAAGAGACACAGAACAACTACAAAGAGTCTCAAAACAACTACAAAGAGACACAGAACAACTACAAAGAGTCTCAAAACAACTACAAAGAGTCTCAAAACAACTACAAAGAGACACAAAACAACTACAAAGAGTCTCAAAACAACTACAAAAAGACACAAAACAACTACAAAGAGTCTCAAAACAACTACAAAGAGACACAGAACAACTACAAAGACACAAAACAACTACAAAGAGACACAAAACAACTACAAAGACTGTTGTGGAATATTTCAATAAAAAAGACGCTGAGTTTTTATACACATGTGAAGGACATTCTCCGTGCCAGCTACGAGAAGCTGCAAAGTGCTTTGACAACTTTTTGTCACTGGACCCCATATACTCTATACTACCATATAGAAAAAAACTGGCAGTTTTATTTTCCTCATCTTATGTAATCTATTCAACCAACAGTCACTTAGCCGACAGTTAAAATATATATATTTTTAAAGTCCAATTTTATTTAAAATGTGTAAAACAGAGTAGGCTTTTCTTTTCATAGAAGTGATTATCTAAAGATCTGAGGGACTGAGATCTCTGGAACAAATAACAGAAGGTGGATTTCTAAGGAATCCACTTACGGCTTATTTAAGCTGTTTATTTTCACTGGCCCCCCAACAGGAGGAGACTCAGACAAAGTCTTTCTCAGCTTTCATTAGTGGATTTGCTTTTGTTTTCTTTTGTTGGGCACGAACACGGAAAATATGTGACGCGTTGAGCTCTGCAAAATGAAAAAAAAATGTTTTGTTGAGTATTTCTGCAGAAAGATATAAAATAAGAACAAATATTATCTTATGTATAATTTGTATGCACATCAATAAATACTACTACAACTACTATGTAAATCTTGTAATTTGTATTAGGTGTAGAAATCTACAGCCATGATGACTTTGCGTTCACGGTCAAACCAGCGGTGTCACTAAAAAGGCTTTTAATTAATAACATATCAAATCCAATTAAATTATAAATTATTTCTCTCTAAGCTGGAGAAGTTGGGAATAAAGTGGCGAAAAAAGCACAAGTAACCACAGATGATTCACTAGTACAGTATTTAGGTAACTATAAGTTCTTAAGACTGGTTTCCTATCTTGTGTGATAACAAACGAAGAAGACATTTCCGAGCAGATCTTTGTGAAGAACAGAGGCGTCAGATTAAGGACTTTAAGGAGCAAAGGTCTTATCACAAGTATGTCAAAGGAGAAGAAGATGAAACTGAACCATTTCTCTGGGCGGTGAATTACTGTAACAAAAGGTGGGTTGTTTGACATTTCTTTTTAATTGCAATAAATGCAGCAGAAATGTCCTCTTCCGTCTTTGGTGAAACATGGCGGCTATTTCTTACAATTTATAATTCCGCTGGTAACCAAATTATAAAAGCAATAAGGTACGAGAGGCCCTGCGCGTCGGGCCTAATACCCCCGAACTGTTACATTATTGGATTATACAGCCTCTCGTACCTTATTGCTTAAGTAAAAACTATAATAACTCGCCAGAAAAACAATATGCATACATGAAAAAGAATTCGAGCCGTCGTCATGATAATGATACACTCTCAGCAGGCAGCAGTGGAAGCAGCATTTCTGTCTGTGTTCAGTGTGTTGTGAAGCGTCGCCCCCTTGTGGAGACGTAAAGTAACTCTCCAGGTAAAACAGCAGCTTGAACGACTCTGTTCCAAGAACAACCACAGAAGAACGAATGGCTCAGGGCCTCCACCTACAACACGGCACACAAAGTGACCCGAAGGACAACACACAACAAGGGGAACTAAAGATACTCAAAATGACCACAAAAGGACTCCAAAGGGGAAAATAAAATACATTAAAAAGACTGTTTTTCTTTGACCCATGACATTTGTCCACCCTACATACAGTATTTTGACTTTAAAAAAAAGAAGTTTTTCAATGTAATATTTTTTGTCATTTATTTTCCATTACATTTTACGTGTTTTGATTGATTCTAGAAAATATTTGTCCACCTTGCATATTTTTACTTTACCTTTTTAAAAACATTTTTTGCCATATTACATCACATTTTTTATGATATTTTTAGAGACGTTTTTTGACCTTAGATATTGTGACTTTCTATTTAAAAACGTTTTTCAAAATATGTTTTGACCTAATATTTCTTTTACTTTTTTTTCCCCATATTTTGACATTTTTCTTCAACATCATTTTTGACCTTATATTTTTTTGTTTTTTAATGACATTTCTAGACACAATGTAGTTGGACTGATCCATGCCATTTGAACCTTTTTTTTCAAATTATTTTTTGACCTAAAACTACATATTACTTTTTTTCCAAAATATTTTTCAAAATTATTTTTCTCCATGACATTTGTAGACACAACGTATTATGACTGTTTTTTCCATCCTTACATATATTGACTTTCTTTTTAAGAACTTTTTTTTTTACATTTCTTTCAAAATATACTTTCACCTAATACTGTTCTTCTTTTTTTCTTCATGGCATTTGTAGATATAATGTATTTTGACTTTCTTTAAAAAGTTTTTTTTCAATAATATCTTAACTTTTATAGATAACTAACATAACTTTTTTTTAAACATTTTTTACCCTCATATATTTTGACTTATGTTTTTCAAAATATTGTCCCACCTAAAAAATATTTAGAAAACTAATTACAATGATTATGATATCTAATAAGGGAAGAAAGAAACTTGTGTTTGCAACATATCTTGTTTTCATCTATATTCCACGGAAAAATAAAAAGCTGTTATTTGAGGGAAGGTTTGCAGATGAACATAAGCTCGTCACCTTTAAACACAGACAACGTGAATAATAAAGTAGCACAAAGTAGTTCAACGTTATACTTACATTACTGCAGTAAATTAGAGGTTCTAGTTTGTCTCCTCGTGTGACTTTCTGTACAAAAACAGAAACTCACCCACCCAGAACCAATATTGTCCTTGTGGGCCGGGTCTCAGCACGTTGACCCCCGTAGGCCACGGTCCTGGACCGGCTTAAAGACGTCTCTGAAAGGAAGAAACAATAACCTGGGGCGACTGAAGTGGATCAGAGCGCCTGGAGGTCACATCTGTGTTTAAAGTTGTGTGTTTCTGTACACCGTGTGTGTGTTCAAAGGATTAATGTTGCAAGGTTGATTTTACTGAGAAAACAGACCTAAAGCAACACAAAGTATCCTGGTAGAACTCCAGTGAAACCCTCCTTCATCAGCAGAATATGTCACACTCATGGAAACAGCTAAATTTAACTGTCCACACACTTGAGTCTCACCTTTGACCTCATCAGAAAAACTCAACTTTTTTCTCGTTTTATTCAGACTGAAAACGTGTCCAGAACCCGGTTTGACATGGACGATAATCCTGGTAGGTGTTGGTAAGAAGAACCATAGAGAACTTATAAGTGAATAAACTCACGGCTCTGCAGAGACTTCTTCTTACTTCTCAAACACGTGAGGACTTCACATCGTGAGGACCTCACGTGTTTGTTAAAGTCAAAGGCCCCAGTTTGTTTTTCAGGTGGGTTTGATTCCACATTTGGGCGTCTGGTTCTCACGTTTCAGTTTGTGTGTTCTTTGACCAGCTGCAGCTGTAGTTACAGTTCACCTTTACCTCAGCAACCACATCGCCAGTGAGGAGAAGCAGGTGTGGAGGTGGTGGAGGAAGAACTCTGTACTAAAGTAAAAGCACCACCGTGAAAATACTTCAATGAAAGTATAAAGAGGGAAATATGATCAGGAGATCTGGGGTTGAATGTGGTGCTCGGACACTAATCCGGCGTCCCTTCTTCTTTTCCTGGGACCGGACGCGATGTCTCATGATGCCGAGGCTCGGTCACATGCTCCCCCGCTGTCCTCCCCCACAGGTCTCCTCCTGCGACGCCTTCAGGGCCGCCTGGGAAAGTACGCTTGTAGAGTAAAACGTCTTGTTCTACTGCTGCAGAGTTCTGTTGTTTTTTAAGCTTTAATGAGTTAATAGTATCCACAGCAGTAAGAAAATGCAACATGCACATTATGCACACCATATTTTACTGCACTGCATCAATTATTTTACGTTAACTTTATTTAACCGATAGGACCTGAATACCTTTATTTAGGTAAATGTTTAAATGCAGTATTTTTCACTAGTACCTTCACAGTAGAAGAGAATAGTTATTTTTCCACCTGAGGAGGTGGTCTCTCTCCTCGCGCTCTCTCTCTCTCCTCTCCTCTCCTCTCCTCTCTCTCTCTCTCTCTCCTCTCTCTCTCATCTCTCTCTTTCTCTCTCTGTCTGTCTTTGGTTTGCTTCTCATATTTCCGGCGGCCCGTGAAGGAGGCACACACGGTCTCCATCCATTCATTAACCGGGCCGCAGGTTACCGTGAACCGTTCTCCCATCAACGGATAGTAAAAGACACCCCGCTACGTCAACCGTGAGTCGTGTCCACGCGTTAAAGCGCCGCGGTTTGTCGTTGTTGTGATTTTGTGTCCCGGTCCGCGCTTCCGGGTTCGCCATCTCCTTTTGTGCACACGGCCCCGCAGCGCCAACGTGTTTCTGTTTATGTTGTTTCTCCGTCTGCAGATCTCACTCGGGCCGCGGGACAAGTGCTCGCGTTCGTTTCGTTATGACGTGATATTGTCGGATTAACGTCCGGGCCCTTCCTGCGGGCCGGCTAGCAGCGGAGCGAGCCGGGCTAACGCACCGGGGCGGCGAGGACCCGGCGCGAGTTGTTCCCGGGCCTCACGCGCCGGGAGGTTAGCAGCGCCGCGCTGGTGGCTCCGTTAAGCTAGCTAGCTGGTTAGTTAGCTAGTGAGCTAGCTAGCGCGTTGAGCCGGACTCGGTTGCCTAAGTTACCCCCCCGGGAGGAGCCTATCTGCCCCCACAGGACGGGACTCTCTCCGGGAACCTTCCATTAGTCATTTAGGAGCCGCGCTTCCGCCAGACCAGAACCGGGCGGGTTCTACGTGTAGCGAGTAATGCTGCCGTTACGGTGACGTCATCGAAACAACGTAACCGGCGACTCTTTGATCACGTGTCAAACGACCTTCAATACGCCGTTAAATGTGCTTTATAGTAAGTGCACATTGTGGCTCTAATCTGCCTCCAGCTGTCAGGTCGGTGAGTAAAAGTACCTGCTCACGCCACGTGGTGGAGTACTGTACACAGTACATATAGTTACAAGTACCTCCAACGTGTACTTGATGAAAGGTATTTTCTTTGACACAATCTAGTTAAAGTTAAAGTTCTACACGTTATACTTGTTTTATTTTCTTCTAATCTAGGTCATAATCCAAGCGTTGTTATCTGAATTACTGCAGTAATCTAGAATTCTGAGATCGATGTTTTGCTGATATTTAATTCCTTCTTAAATTGACTAAAGGGGAGGGAAGTACCGCGTTATTTTACTGGAGTACAACAGTGTACAAATACTCCATTGCTAGTAAAAGTGCTGCATTCATCTCACGATTTATTCCAAATGTAAGTTATTGTTGTTTTTCCTCTGCGTTTTGTTGATGAAGTCTGTTTACTTTGATATAAAACGGAGAAAAGCAGTTATTATTTGGGGTGTTTTTGATGAAAATATCCTAAACGGGTTCTTCTTCCAGGGACCATGTTGACGTTGCTGCTGCTCGTCGCCGTCGCTCTGTCCGGCGGAGGCGGGACTTCCAGCTCGGACGCCGGGCTGCTGGAGACGGACCCTGCGGTGCGTTCGCTGTCCTCGGTGATGGACTCCCAGCTGGCCGAGCAGAGCCAGAGGAAACACCTGGAGGCTCTGTTCAACAGGTGAGCTCAGGGGTCAGAAGCTGAACCATCAAATCAGCAAAAGGGAAAACTTTCAGTGAACCATTTCTTTAAGGATTCGTTTTACAACTGATACAAAAACACGTTTTTGGAGATTTTTATTTTTTAAATATTGAATTATTGCCCTTTTTGGAATCGAGGTGCTGGAGGGATTCTGTTCACAGCCGATGATTCTCGTCTCAACAGATACGGAGAAAACGGAACCATCTCTCTGGCCGGTCTGAAGCGTCTCCTACAGAACGTGGGCTTGGATCGCATCCGGACCGTTACGGTGCAACATCACGAGCAACCGGGCCGCCGCCATCATCACCATCACCACCACCACCACCACGACAACGACTCGCACCCCCAGAAACATGCTGAACCTTCACCACGGGGGAAGCTCGCAAAGACCTCAGAGGTCCTCAAAGACCAGGACAGTCGGCACAACCGGCACCCTGAGAGGGCCGCGCAGGAGGGCGGAGCCACGGCGCCGTACGGCGCCCAGCTGATGGCGAGATTGGACGTAGCCGAGGAGAGACGAGAGGGCAGCGCAGTCAGCGGGGGGCGGCGCGTGAACCAGAGCGTGGGCGGTGTGGAGGTACTTGTAGTTGATAGATATGAGTTTGCAGGTGATTAAGACCCCCACCTAGAAAAAACAAGTGTCCACTCGCCGTCTCCTCAGTCCTTGTTGTCTTTTGTCTCCAGTGTCAGAACGCCTCGGGCATCCTCTGGTCACACGGGATGTCCCGGGAGGGGGGGGTGACGCTCGCCGACTTCAGCTTCCTGTGCCCCGCCCTCCTCCGACAGATCGACGGCGGGGCGTGCGTCGTGCACCGCGCCGCCGACCCCCCCAGAGGTACCGGCGCTTTGTTTGAGTAGGAAGACTGTGGTGTCTGCTGGTCCCCCCCCCACACCAAGAGAGGTGTGATTGACTGTGATCTCCTCCGTTTCAGACCACGGTCACCACGGTAACCACTCGGACCACGGCGAGCACTCCGGTGGAGGCGGAGTCAAAAACATCACCATAGGTGAGCCGGCGGAAGCCCCGCTCTGCGATTGGAGGGTTCTTGCGTCGTTTCCTGCCGGAGGAGTCTCAGTCGGGGTGCGTTTGATTTGTGCGTTGCAGCGTGGGTCGGCGGGTTCCTGTCCATCACGGTCATCAGCCTGCTGTCGCTCGCCGGCGTGGTCCTCATCCCGCTCATAAACAGGGTCTTCTTCAAGTTCCTCCTCAGCTTCCTGGTGGCGCTGGCGGTCGGGACGCTGAGCGGAGACGCCTTCCTTCATCTCATCCCCCACGTGAGTCCGCTTCCTCTTCATCACAGGTGGGGGGGGGTAAACCCTACGACGTCATGATTTGTATGTTCCTCTCCGCGCTTCAGTCCCTGGGGGGCCACCATCACCATCATGGGGGCTCTGGGATGGAGGCGGGCGGAGGTCACCTCCACGAGGAGCCGGAGGAGAACCTGGACGCCATGTGGAAAGGGCTGACGGCGCTGAGCGGCGTCTACGTCATGTTTCTCATCGAGCACTTCCTGACGCTGGGGAAGATGTACAAGGACAAGAAGCAGAAGGTCAGAGGTCATTTCGACACCGAGGAACCAGGTTTAGGAGCCACGTCAGGATGTGTGAAGTTTGTCTCCAAACAGATCCAGAAGGACAAAGCGGATCCGGAGAAGCAGCTCGCTCTGGAGGAGAGCGACCTGAAGCCAAGTGAAGGTGAGACGAGGAACACGGAGCCATGAGCTCGGCTGAGAATCTCCACAATCACACGCTGTAAAAAAACTATGGATTTATGTTTTCATCTTTCCAACGGTCCTCGAACTGATCGATGCTTCCTTCAGGAACAAAGCTTGAAAAGATATTTTATTAAATATCTTAAAACTCTCTCCTCAAATAAGCTGCTTACTTTCACCAGATTCTGTAAAAATAAAGTAAAAAAACTCGGGATTGATTGATACTATATACGTGTGTGTATATTATTTATATATATATATATATAAATTACTATTAATTGTCCTTTAGAGGTACTAATGGAAATAACAGAAGCATCACATATAAAGAAGTCCGTTGTGTTGTAACGATTTACGAGATTTCTCACGTTCTGATTGTTTTGTTTCCGTCCAGACGTGGAGACCAACGGCGCCGGCATATTTGGCGAGCGCCCCGGCGGCGGCGGCGTGTCGGAGGAGGAGCAGTCCATGTTGGCGCCGCAGGTGTCCGTCGTCTCGCCGCAGGGTTACGTTGGCGCGGAGGGGGGCGCCGCCTACACCGCCGAGGACTGCGAGAACAAATGCCACTCCCACTTCCACGACACGGTGGGCCCGGCCGACAGCATGCACCACCACCACCACGACTACCACCACATCCTGCACCACCACCACTCCCAGAACCACCACCCGCACAGCCACTCCCACTCCTACTCCGAGGAGCACTTCCAGCAGGCCGGCGTGGCCCCGCTGGCCTGGATCGTCATCATGGGGGAGGGGCTGCACAACTTCAGCGACGGCCTGGCGATCGGTGAGTGCTGCACCTCCGGGACGGGTTTGGGGCGGGGGGGCGGGGGGGCGTCGTGGCCGTTACTTCATGTCGTCCGCTTGCTTTAAAATACAAACTCTGGACGCTTTGTAAGCCATTTGTTCTCGTGGTTACAACTCGAGCACCATCATTTCCCTCAAGATAACAACATCTGGCACATCTGGGACGTCCCAGACACAGCAGGGCCACATGAAGTAGGATAGTATGGTGTGATGGTGTGATGACGGGGGTCTGCTCCACAGGAGCTGCCTTCACCGAGGGTCTGTCCAGCGGCCTCAGCACCTCTGTGGCTGTTTTCTGCCACGAGCTTCCTCACGAGTTGGGTGAGACCTTCTTCCTCTTTCATATGTTCATCTACACGGGTGGCGCGTGTCCTTAACGTGATTCGGCCCCATGGAGTCTCACTTGTGCCCGATTCCCCGGCCCGACTACCCCTCCCAGGTGACTTTGCGGTGCTGCTGAAGGCCGGCATGACGGTGCGACAGGCCATCCTCTACAACGTGCTGTCGGCCATGACGGCCTACCTGGGCGTGGTGATCGGCATCCTGATCGGACACTACGCAGAGAACGTCTGCATGTGGATATTCGCCCTCACGGCCGGGCTCTTCATGTACGTGGCTCTGGTGGACATGGTGAGTCAACAACAACACTCACCGGCCCCTTTACGCTTCACCGGAACAACAACAACACCACATGTCTCCACTGAGCATGTGCAGACTCACCTGGTTAAGTGCTTACTAACTTCCCACAAGTCTGTGGTGAAACCCTCATCAGGAGCAGAGCTGGTTAGCTGTTAGCTAGCCAATGCTAATGGAGCTCCAGAGTTGTGATGCGTTCAGGCTATTCAGTAAAAACGAGTGTTCAATTGTTACAGTTTTTGGTGAGAAACCTGAATAAACCCCGTTGAGATGAGACGAGGGGACGCGATAAATCCACCTTCACGAGTACAGACGTAGTTCATTAACCTGAACAAAGAGCCGCTGAGTCAGCAGCGTCTGTTCACTCAACAGAGCAGCAGCCTTCAGCACCAGCTGGCCTCTACACACACACACACACACACACACACACACACACACACACGGCGTGTTCTTAAAGCCGAGCTCCCGTCTGTTTGGTCAGTCTGACCTCTTGTGGTCACAATCATCACACGGCTACACGCGCTGTGCACGGCGTCGCCCCTCGTCGTGTCCAGATGGCGGTAAGCGGACCAATCACAGACCTCCTCTTTCCTCTTCCAGGTGCCCGAGATGCTGCACAACGACGCCGGCGACCACGGCTTCAGCCACTGCGGCTTCTTCCTGCTGCAGAACGCCGGCATCCTGCTGGGCTTCTGCATCATGCTGCTGATCGCCATCTTTGAGCACAAGATCCAGCTGAACCTGGGCTACTGAAGGAGACCCCCCCCCCCCCGCGGTCTGAAGCTCCATCGGGTCAAACAGACATGTGACGTATGACGTTACCGCGGCGACGCGTTAAAGTACTTTAGTAAAAAACCTCCGACAATGTTACTCCAAAGGCTCATTTCTTCGTTGCCTGTCAGTGGTTCGTATTTCCCACAGATTAATTCAGACCTGAAAGCAGCACAAAAGCTTTTGTTTTCAATCATTTGATTATTTTTATTTTTTTCGACATTCCATCTGCTGATTTTGTGATAATTCTCTTGATTGGGGTCGAAGGGGCTCGGTGTTCAATGGAAAGCCGTCCGGCCACCGTCATATTTAAAAAGTACCGACTTGAATTGTTAGTTATAAGGAATAGACTTAAAATGCTAATAAGAGGGCTTGAGGTCATTATCGAGTCGCCTCCTGTCGAGGCGTGACAGGAGGCGGAGACTAAGAGCAGAGCGATGTCATTATAAACCTGCAATGTCTGACATCCCCTGAACGCATCGTTTGGAGAGCAGCGTGTGAAGAAAGGTGCTTTTGGAACGCGATGAGGAACCGGAAGCAGATCTTCCTCCTCGTTAAAGCCTCAGCGAGAGGAACCCGCCGTCTCCATTCGAAACGTGCCGGAGGGCATTTTGCTTGCGTCTCCTTTCCCGTTAGCATCCCGTTAGCTACAGAGCACCGCTAACGCCGCTGAGGATCGTTTTCCATCAGTAACTTAAAGTCTTCCTGTCTGATCACAGCGTTTAAAAATAAAATCCGCTTCACCACTTTGAGGGCGACCTTTGACCTCTGACATTTGTAGCCAACTGGAGGAGGAAAAGAAGCCAAAGGCTGGAAATGAGAACAAATGATGGCGCCTAAAGGGACCCGTGGGTTTTAGTCTTTATATATTTCTGTTCTGTTTCTCTTCTCATTCATCGGATGTTCAAGTTTCCTTCTGATGCTGTTTTGTTTTATGCCTTAAAAAGAATCTACAAAAAGAAGTAAAAGTCGAGACGCAAACCTCACTGTATAAAAGTGTACAATACTATGTGTATAATAATGTACAATAGTGTGTATAATAATGTACAATAGTGTAAGTGGTGAGTCTGTTACTACAAACCCCCCAACAGGACGAAGTTGTTCTTTGATGTTTTGTCTCAAACTAAATGTTAAATGTGTTACGAAGGGACCTTCAACCACGAAGACGTCCCACAATGCAACAGGAACCATTCAGTGTTTTTATTGAAAAGGGAACACGGACTAAACGTGTTTTATGATTTAGAAACATAAGGATATAAATGTGAATATGGTTTAATAATCATTCATTTTGTGTCAAATTCACTTCAAGAACAAACGTAAAAGTTAAACCGCGATAAAAAAATCACATTTTCCATGTTTTTGTTTTATTATCACTTTTTTAACAAAACGCTTAAAACTCTGAAACATTTTATTTTCAGAGCACCAAAAATCCTCAAAGATGGAAGGTTTGATTCCTCATTAATGAATCGTGTTCACCTCTTATTACGGGATGGCTCCTGAGATGTGACTTTGGTTTTATGCTCACGTTGAAAAGAAGAAAGTGATGTTACAGTTTTTGTTTTTTCACGGATTAAAGAAGCTGAAATCAGAACTTTGTTTAATTACATTTTATTTACGTCTGTAATGAAACAGTCTTGATCTTCTACAAGCATATTGTTATGAAAACAGCATACAAATATTACTCATGTACTTTTAATGTAATATTGTATCAACTTCAGAAGTAATCTGAAGTAAACACTTATATATATGAAAGTAATTTCAGAGACACTAAACTTAACACATATGACAACATCACATAATGAGGTTTAAAAACTAAACTTCTCACCTTCCACTAAACAGCGTTTAAAGTTTAACTCAGGTAGAAACCTGGATGTTTGATGGGAGGAGCTAAACAGATACAAATACCAATGAGACATGAAGAAAGGCTTCGTCTCATTTATTATCACGTCATTGCATTGTAATTATATTTCAGTATAAATGAGCATATTTACTACAATACCTCAACATTTAAATTATTTATGTATTTTCTAGAAATTAAAGAACAATTTGGCTACAAGAAGCTTTGGAAGGGTCCAAAATCGATGCAAAAAGTTATTTTCAACGTATTTATTTTATGAGGGTTGGTTTTCATTCCTTCATTCATTCTTATTAAAATCCTTATTGTTAATTGAATGAGGCACTGAAGCTCAACTAATCAGAACATCACCGTTAGCAGCTTTAACTGAAAAAGCAGCAAACTAACAATTAAATTACGTAAAAAAGAAGAAAAATTCTGCGTTTGATGTCGGCATCTTCGCAAGTACAAATAAAGTTGCATGCTAACTGGCTAGCTAGCTTATGTTAGCCATCTCAACAATAAAATGAAATTGGGAAATGACCAATGCAATCACTTCCAAATGACGATTCGTTGGCTCATCCGTACTCTGATTTCTGATTTATTTTTCATGAGGTCGTCATGGCGACCACACCACGTCACGTTTTTACCTAAAGACCAAAGAAATTTGTCACTTTCTCGACCCAACCCTTTTTCTCTTTCCTCTCCTCGTTCTCTCTGTGCAGCTCCTCCTCCGTCCGGCTGAGTTTCTGTCGTTTGGACACCTTGGAGATGATGTGGGCTTTGTCCTTCATCGCCATCAAAGACTGGATTCGAGCCCGGTGCCCCGGCTTGGCCTCGGACCGCTCCCCCTCGATCAGCATGTCGATGTACTCCGGAGTGGTCAGCGGGTTGGGCCTCAGGGCGATCTCCTGCAGGCGGGTTATGGACTGAGAGGACTGGTCCATGAGGGACACTATCATGTCCTGGAGCTGAGCGATCTCTTCCTCCTGCCTCTCGATCAGGTCCTGCACAGTCATCTTCTCCTCCGTCGCTCTTTTATACTTCACCTTCAGCTCGTGCAGCGTCTGCTTCTCTGTCACTTTGACGTAGTCCCAGCTGTACGTCTGGTTGAAGTGCAAGCTCCAGACGCATCTCCCCGGGCAGACGGTACACATCCCAGACTGACCCATCGATGCACACCGATGCTTGAGACTGTCGTCAGCTATCGCGCACGGGTAGTGGCACGTTATCGAACACTTCTGGCAGTTGGTAATGAACTCTCCTTTCTGTGTGAGCACTCTTTTGACCGGCTTAATAACCTCCACCTCAATCTCAAAGTTCTCATTTGAAGTCATCACTGTTTCGTGCTCTTTAATCTTTTCTTTTGTCGACTTGATTTCTTCCAGTTTTGCCAATCCAGCTTTAACTTGCGGTTGCAAACCTTCAACGGCGGTTTCGAGGCACTTCCGTTCTCTGAGAACCTCTTTGGTCATCAGCAGGCTTTTGGTTGTCATGTTATTTAAAGCCAAGAAGAACCTCTCCATGCTTTTGGCGCCCATGTTCCAAAACATTTGGTCAAAATCATCGTCCCCATCATCACCATCCAGATCGAGGCTGCTCTTCTTGTCTGCAAACAAGGCCGAGTTGTTGAACTTGAAGTGAACCGGAAATCCCATCTCGTTCTTAGGACACGGGACCCCAGAGTGGCTAATCGCCTCAAGGACCGGCGGCTGCTTGCCATCTGCAAAGGTCACCAGCATCTCGATGTTCTCTGCCACGTCTTTACCAAAGATGGCCAGCACGGAATCAAAGACGTAACGCTGGGTCGCGGTTAGTCGCGCAAGAGACGCCTGAGTCACGAAGCACACGGCATCAATCTCACTGACTCCATTGGCGGAGGTGAAAAGCCTCCTGATTTGCTCGGTGATCTCGCGGTCTCTCACTATTCCTCTTGTATCCCCGAACCCTGGTGTGTCCACAACGGTCAGAGAGAAAGGGATTTTAAATCCCTCCTGGTGGCTGATTTTGTAGACGGTGACTTCAGAGGTCTGGCTTTCAGCCTGAGATCTCGACTGATCCTCTTCAACCAAATGAAATCTGAAGGAGTCCTTCCACTCCACACCAACCAGGTAGTTGATCATCCCATTGATCAGAGTAGACTTTCCTGATCCCGTCGCTCCAAGAAGCATTATTGTGCGATTTTGCCTCATGCTTTCTTTGCCGAAGGTATAGTACCGGCATCCGTCTATGTTCATATCTTCTTCTGTCAGACGTAGTTTGTAGACTGAAGGAGATTTAGAAGTTAATCTTTTGCTAATGTGTTTAAGGTATTCTGCAAGACGTGCAAATTCCCGTTTTGTTGTGTAGACTTTAACAGTGACGCTTTCTTTGCTTCTGTCGGCTGCACCGCAATCACATCGGACCCTGACGGCATATTCCGTCTCTGCCCGAAGTCCTGAAATGACGGCCTTTTCAGCCGTTGACATCATTTGGTTCCATCGGAGATCTTCCTCTTTCACCCCGTCTTTGGTCTCTGCGTACTCCACCATGTAGGTCAGAATGAGGACATCTTGTCCGAGCTCAGCAGGTTTCTCCCAGCTGACTGATGCCTCTGTTGAATTGGGTTCAACCTGAGGTTTCCCAGGAGGGCTGCAGGGTAAGGTCCTAATGGAACCACTGACTTCATTGGCTGGTCCAAGACCTGCTGAGGTCACCGCTCTGCATCTGAACACATACTCGGTGTTAGGACTCAGACCGCTCACTGGGACTTCTTCATCTCTGGATGCTGCCTTCTGTTTCCATCCATCTTCTCCACTGACACAGTACTCAACAGAGTAGGAGGTGATGTTCTCTGCTCCAAATCTGGGTGGAGACACCTTCAGCGTCACACTGTTGTGGTTTATGTCGCTTACTGTTAACGTTTCAGGCCTTGAAGGAGGCTCAAAGTTCTCACTGACAGAAAAGCCGTCTTTATAAAGGTAGATGCTTGAACCTTTCTGTGCCTCATTTGCTAATCCCAAGGTCAAGAACTTAATGTTCTTGTTCTCCTTGTTGGCCACTGCAAAATCACTGAAGAGCTTCACTTTGAGCCTCAATGTATCTGCTATTTTGTTGGAGAGGAACCATTGTTCCTTCTCTATATCTTGAGTGTGTGTATCTTGAGGGTTCTCTTCTGTTTGTCTTAAGTAGCTTGATAACGTTGAGAGGTACGAGTCAGGACTTCCTAGTGAGGTGAAGACAAAGCACATCACATGTTCCGAACTGAGAATTTCTGCATCAAGATCATTTTGAGATGTAACGATCTTTGTGTTTTTCATGATGTTGGTGAAAGACTTCAACATGTGGATTTCTCTCTCTTTACATTCAATCCACTCGTTGAGCTTTTTGCTGTTGAAAGGAGAAGAATGTCTTTTCTTCAGGATGTCAGTGAGCACAGCTTCCTCTTCTCCTCCTCCTCGGATTGATGGAAGTTTTTTTGCCAAAGTTTGTTGGAGATCCTGTCTGGACTCAGAGCACATCTCTTTAAAGGTTTTGATCTTTTTTCCAATCTGTGGGAACTTCTGTGCAGTGGTGTTGTTCAACGCATCATTGCACCTCATTTCCAGCTCACTGAAGTCCTCGAGGACGCTTTGGGATTCCTGAACTAATCGTATACTTATCTGACGAACAAGTCTAGCAGCTTTAGAATCTAAACCTGCCAGCGGCAGCAGCCAGACCGTCATTGGTACGGCGTTCTCTCCGTTGGCTCCCAGCAGTCTTGGCAGACTCTGGTAGACTTTTACTGCCTCACTGAAGGACACAGGGTTCTCTTCAAGGGAAAAGTCTCCGTGGAATTTGCAGGAGAATTTGTCAACTTTCTCTTTGTCCTTTTCCTCCATCTTCAGGGAACCTTCACCTTCTATCTTAATGCTGGGGAACTTATCGATCATGACCTTTAGGTCACCCTGAATGTCTTGATGATTCTCATCTTCAGACACGTCACGGTCAAAGATGAAGAAGGCTTGTGCCCCGTAAAGAATACCTGTGACTACATGGGTTGCTAATCCTTTGTCAAAGACGTATGGATGCTTCACATTTCCTCTTCCAAGATGGTTCATGGACAGTTCCTGGAACTTTGTGGTGGCTTTGTAGTTCAGTGTTACTCTGGCTTGATGTCTGGATTTCTTGTGATCATTCAGGTATTTGGCCGATCCTCCAACCTTCACCAGTCCACACAGGAAACTCGCTTTCAGAGAAGCTTCAACTTTCAGCGCTGCAGATTTATCTGCAATAGATTCAGATGCGACTATCTCAAAGTCACTGCTTGCTTGTTGTCTTTCTCTTGTATCTTTTCCCAAGTCATCACAGTTCCAAAGTGTCAAGCCTGCCAAAGAACAAGTGAGGAGGTTAGTCATATATATTCAGACTAGTCAAAACCACGGTTGTTAAACTAAACGTTTTAATCGAGATTAATGCGACAAAATATTTTAACGCAGTGACCCCGGAAACGAAACGGTCGCTAGCTGCAGTCAGTTAGACACAAGAAAGCAAGGCGGTAGCTCAAGATGGAGAGCTTTGTGCATTGGAAGGAAAACAAGTCGCGACATACAGCGGAGATCTGTGCAGAGGAATTACTCCACTTGTCAAACAGAAGGGGGGTGAGTGGCACATGAAAATAAGGGGAATCTTGGGTTAAATATGGATTTTGTCTCATGGAAATGAGTTTTCCCTTTACAGTTAAAAAATTGTGTTTTGGATATGTGACCTTAAGTAACACCTTCCTTTTGAATATGAACAATGACCGTGTGACTAGTAGAAATATAGCACGTTGTTTTAACATGTATTACGGCGTGTGGAGCGGACCAACACGGACTCTTTAGTTTTTGTCCTCGGGGACTTTAACAAAGGAAATCTCACCCATGAACTTCCTAAATACAGACAGTTTATTAAATGCCCACCAGAGAGGAGAACACGCTGGATCACTGTTACACCACAGTCAGCAGGGCTTATCACGCCGTCCCTCGTGCTGCACTGGGACACTCTGACCACGTCATGGTCCATCTGATTCCTGCATACAGGCAGAAACTGAAGCTCTGCAAACCTGTGGTGAGGGAATTCAAGAAGTGGACCAGTGAGGCGCTGGAGGATCTTGGGTCCTGCTTTGACTGCACAGACTGGGATGTTTTCAGCTACTGACAGTCTGGATGAGTCCACAGAGGCTGTGACTTCCTACATTGGCTTCTGTGAGGACAGCTGTGTACCATCATGCACCAGGGTGAGTTACAACAATGACAAACCCTGGTTCACAGCGGAACTCAGAACACTAAAATACAGGTTTAGCAAGGCGGTGAGACGCTAAACAACTGTACTGAGAAACTCCAACAACAGTTCTCAGCAAGTGACTCTGCTTCGGTTTGGAGAGGCCTCAAACACCTCACCAACTACAAGCCAAAACCCCCCCACTCCATGAATCACCTCCGCCTGCAGACAAGCTGAATGAGTTCTACTGCAGATTCGAAAGATAACGTCCTGATCCCATCCCCCACAGCTACGACCAACCTGCCCCAGTTCCCCCTTCCCCTCCCTACCCCAGCCCCATCAGGGGGCTCACGGCTTCTTCATCTATATCTATAATCCTTCCCCTCCCCCACCAGCAACGACCCCTCTCTATTCTGGAGAGAGACGTTAACCGGCTCTTTAAAAGACAAAATCCCCATAAGGCAGCCGGCCCGGACTCCGTTTCCCCTCACTCCCTGAAGCATTGTGCTGACCAGCTGTCTCCGGTGTCCGATGACTAGAGGCCCGTCACCGTGACCTCTGTAGTCATGACGTCTTTTGAACAGCTAGTCCTGACCCCACCTGAAGTCCCTCACCGACCCCTCTGCTCTTCTCCCTGTACACCAACAGCTGCACCTCCAGTCATCAGTCCGTCAAGCTCCTGAAGTTTGCGGATGACACCACCCTCATTGGACTGATCTCTGGTGGGGACGAGTCCGCCTACAGGTGGAGTCTGACCATCTGGTGTCGTGGTGCAGCCACAACAACCTGGAGCTCAACGCTCTAAAGACAGTGGAGATGGTTGTGGATTTCAGGAGGAACAGAGCCCCACCCTCCCCCATCACCCTGTGTGACTCCCCCGTCACTATTGTGGATTCCTTCCGTTTCCTGGTCTCCATCATCACCCAGGACCTCAAGTGGGAGCTGAACATCAGCTCCATCACCAAGAAGGCTCAGCAGAGGTTGTTCTTCCTGAGGCAGCTGAAGAAATTCAACCTGCCAAAGACGATGATGGTCCACTTCTACACGGCCATCATGGAGTCCATCCTCTGCTCCTCCATCACCGTCTGGTACGCTGCAGCCACAGCCAAGGACAAGGGCAGGCTGCAGCGTGTCCTCCGCTCTGCAGAGAGGGTGATCGGCTGCAATCTGCCGTCCCTGGAGGACTTGTTCGCTTCCAGGTCTCTGAAGCGAGCTAAAAAGATGGTAGCCGACCCCTCCCACCCCGGACAAAACCTGTTTGTGCCCCTTCCATCTGGCAGGAGGCTGAGGTCCATCAGGACTACGACCTCCCGCCACACGAACAGTTTCTTCCCGTCGGCAGTCGGGCTCATCAACAGAGCCGGTCCCCCACTGACTGACTCTGACATCCCACCGGTCACTCCCCTTCATACTGCACATGTCACCTTACTGTCATTTCTCACTCGTCACTTTGTCACTTGTTCGCTAGTGCACTTTATGTTTAATATTTTTTAACTTTTTAAATATTTAAATTTTTTAACTTTAACGTTATTCCCTTGTTTTATACTAACCCATAGCCTTATTCTACTAACCCATTGCATTAGCATTTCATTTTATTTTATTACTTGTGCACTGCTGTCTTGTTGTCTATTGTTACACTGTCACGCACCAACCGCCAAGACAAATTCCTTGTATGTTTGACATATTTTGGCAATAAATGTTTCCTGATTCCTGATTCCTAATTAGTTAGTAATAATAAGTCAATATTAACACACAGTACCAGTCCAAAGTATGGACAGAACGTCTCATTGAATTGATTGAGAAGGTGTGTCCAACCTTTTGACTGGTACTCAGTGATGGCTAAGAAAAAACGGAAAGATAATATTAAACTATAAAAAATATCAATTATTGTGTTTTTGAAATATGGAATGTACCCTGTGGTATCTGATATCTGTGCAAAATATCCTGCACGTCCTGTCTTCATGCGCATTCTAGCTGTGCTAGGACCAATCTCAAGGTTTCCCGCAGACGGCGGGTCTAAGAAGCACTTTAGCCAATTGGTTGGTTTGCATTAAGCACCATGTGGGTCTTGATCAATGAATCCTCTCTGCAGTAATGAAGCTAAACTACTGCAGACAGGTCATATACATACGTGTCTTAAATATTAAAAATTCTATTAGTTAAAAGGTATAAAACTCCAGACGTCAGGGTGAGAGGTCATGGGGGAGGGGAGAAACGGGGGGGCTCGAGGATGGAGAGAGGAAATAAAACAGCGTGAGGGGAAAGAGTATAAAGTGAACTAGAAAATTCCGCAAAATTTGTGGCCTAGACTGCCGCAGGTGCCTGCATGAGTCGGCCAAGCAGGCTGAAGACCAGCCACAAAGGCTAGCTAGCAAACTAAAGACACGACCGCTTTCACTCTGATTGTTTTAGCCACTTGTCAGCAGTAGGGTCCTGTTATTACTAGTGCAATGCTAGCTAGCGCCATGTCACAGACCCCCGCCCTAGTGCCCCCCCGCTGTCGGCCTTATCGTCGCCCCGCCCTCCCCGACGTAATGTCCGCGCAATGACCCCCCCGCTGTCGGCCGTATGGTCCCCCCTCCCCTGCCGCTGCCGCCGGCCGTAATGGTGGCTAGAAAAAAAGATGAAAAGAGATTGGACGTCGAACCCGAGTCTTCTACATCCAAAACAAAATGCTGCACCACTGGACCACTAGCCGGCTCTATGGAAACGCTGGTTTCATCTATAATACATACACAGTACTCCAACTGTGTCTTTATGCTCGGCCGTAACGATGTGCTATACTGGTGTATGTGCTAATAGCATGCTAGGATATGCTATACTGATGTATGTGCTAATAGCATGCTAGGATATGCTATACTGGTGTATGTGCTAATAGCATGCTAGGATATGCTATACTGATGTATGTGCTAATAGCATGCTAGGATATGCTATACTGGTGTATGTGCTAATAGCATGCTAGGATATGCTATACTGATGTATGTGCTAATAGCATGCTAGGATATGCTACACTGGTGTATGTGCTAATAGCATGCTAGGATATGCTATACTGGTGTATGTGCTAATAGCCTGCTAGGATATGCTATACTGGTGTATGTGCTAATAGCATGCTAGGATATGCTATACTGGTGTATGTGCTAATAGCATGCTAGGATATGCTATACTGGTTTATGTGCTAATAGCATGCTAGGATATGCTATACTGGTGTGTGCTAATAGCATGCTAGAATATACTATACTGGTGTATGTGTTTGCTAAATGTTAAATGCTAAATCTGAGGTAAGTGACTGGACGCAGCCTAACAAAAATTGGTTTGTGTGTTATTTTATGTGTACTTGTGGATGTGTAACGTAATGTATGTAAGTAAATGGTTAAAATGATTGCCTTGTGTACTTGGTATATCTCAGTAAATAACTGGTTTGCTAATTGATGGAAATAGCTTACTGGTGTGGGGCTATTTGACAGGTATGTAGAACGTGTTTAAATAATAGAGTTAGCAGACTGATGTAACCAAGTATTAATTACATATATAGGAAACAGTTTAGGAATTCGGGGAGCGCACTCCACTAAGATAGGCAGGACCGCTAGGGGGCGCTACACATACATATGTACACATATATACATACATATACATGTGGATCCTTACCAGGCACCAGTGAGTCCTCTCTGCAGTCGTAAAGCATCCCGAGGCTGAACGGGCGGCCGAGTGCCGCCACCTCCATCTTTCTGCTGGCTGCCGGTTCCATCTCCCCGTCTGCCCATGAGCAAACACAGAGTGTCAGTGCACATCATGTCACTCTCCTGCTGAACACACTGTCCGCAAAACCCTTCATTGTCCAATAAGCCGTCTCTATTCTTGGTTTGTTGATCAATTTAATATGGCTACATTGTCTCCTTCATCACAGTACGTAACAAAGATCAGAATGAGACGTGTCAGGAGGACACGTGTCAGGAGGACACGCGTCAGGAGGACACGCGTCAGGAGGAGACGTGTCAGGAGGAGACATGTCATGATACACCAGCCCCTTTAGGGTATGATAAGATTATAGTCTTATACTTTGTTTCTCATATTTTCAAGGAGTAAATCATCATGAAAAAGATGGACTTCCAAACGTCTATAATTGCTACTTATTACTTTAATAATATTGTTTCTCTCCTCAGTGTTCTTATTGGCTGCTTAAAGGGTTCACCGGTTACACGCAGCATTTATAAAGCATCACCATTAATGTCATTTAAGTCATCGGTACTCACAGTAGAAGTGTGTGGATCCTCTGAGGTGCCGCTGTGCCTCCACCTCTTATATCTCCTCCTCTTATATCTCCTCCTCTTATATCTCCACCTCTTATAGCTCCTCCTCTTATAGCTCCTCCTCTTATAGCTCCTCCTCTTATAGCTGCTCTGAAAGGGACACGCCCACACATCTGTATTCATGGGCAGGAGGCGGCCCAGAGGAGGACCACCCTGACTTCCCAGAAGTCACCTGGTTTGCAGAATGAACGCGGTGGGGTGGGGGGATACACATGCTGTAAAACCTTTACGTCAGTCCGAAGGTGGCATCTGGTTCAAAGTAGTTCCAGTGGAAGTATGAAAGACACATTATCTTTTTAAACACTAAAGTAGAATCTATTTGATATTCTAATCATTGATTCCTGCATCTAAACGATATAGAAGAGAAATATGTGTTTGGTTGTGAGTCAACCTGCAGAGTACATATGTACACATACATACATACATATGTGTACTGTGTATTCAGTATATATAACCCTATAGATGTTATAGCATATCTTATCAACATATTTCATATCGATCTTTATCAATATAAGCAAACAAGCAACAGATTTACATTTACTTTCATTTTTACTGGTTCGGGTTTCCTAGAAATGGCCTGACTTATTGAAAGTGTGTGTGTGTGTGTGTGTGTGTGTGTGTGTGTGTGTGTGTGTGAGAGAAGTCTGCGTGGTTGTTGTGCTGCCTGTTTAAATGTCAGGTGACATCAGGTGATGTTCAGTGTTGAACTTCGTGTCCTTTCCCTTCGGTTCCGTTCACTCGGTAGTTTTTGGTGCAAACCGCTGCTTTAATGGCTGTTGGGTTACGGTTCGATAAAATCACATCCTTCTGTACTAGTTATTAAGTTATTATGTCTCTGTACCTTGTTTCATCTCCTCTAACTCATCCTCATATTCTCTATTCTTCTCAGTTCACCACATTTTATGTAAAATGCTCAATATCTCTGAATTTCTCATTTTATCTCAGCTCATGTATGTAGCTTCTCATTGCCTCTGATCTCCTGTCACACCAGCCGTCCTCCTCTCATCGGTTCTGTCGTCTGACACTTTGTTACCTTTTTGCGTCACCTCATGTAACCTCATGTGTCTCCATTCATCGCGCTAAAAGAGATGCGCTCATGTAAGGGTCGTAGTTAGAAACCACAAATTGTATATATAGTGTGTATATATAGTGTGTATATATAGTGTGTATATATAGAGTGTATATATAGTGTATATAGAGTGTATATATATAGTGTGTATATATAGTGTATATATATAGTGTGTATATATAGTGTGTATATATAGTGTGTATATATAGAGTGTATATATAGTGTGTATATATAGTGTGTATATATAGTGTGTATATATAGAGTGTATATATATATAGTGTATATATAGAGTGTATATATATATAGAGTGTATATATAGAGTGTATATATAGTGTGTATATATAGAGTGTATATATATAGTGTGTATATATAGAGTGTATATATAGAGTGTATATATAGTGTGTATATATAGTGTGTATATATAGAGTGTATATATAGAGTGTATATATAGTGTGTATATATAGAGTGTATATATAGTGTGTATATATATAGTGTATATATAGAGTGTATATATATATAGTGTGTATATATAGAGTGTATATATAGAGTGTATATATAGAGTGTATATATATAGTGTGTATATATAGAGTGTATATATAGAGTGTATATATAGAGTGTATATATAGTGTGTATATATAGAGTGTATATATAGTGTGTATATATATAGTGTGTATATATAGAGTGTATATATAGAGTGTATATATAGACTCTATATATAGTGTGTATATATAGACTGTATATATAGTGTGTATATATATAGTGTGTATATTCAGAGTGCATATATA